AAAACAATGTTTATATATAAACATAACTAACAAACCTATTACAAACCTTCCTTTTATATAAACACAATTCATTATGAAGAATTAATTGGTCTGCAGAAGTTAGAAAAATTGACTTTCCCATTTATTTCATGTTTTTATTTAGAAATCTATTTATTTAAATTTTTGAAGATAAAAATTTAAGTTTAAAAAACAACTTTCAATTCACAACGGAAATCCTGACACCAACTTTTTACTATTGTCAAAAAAAGTTTTGAATCACTTAATGTAATAAATAAAATTCTTATTCTAAAGTTTATTTACATGTACCTAATGTACTATTAGAGATTGTTCTATCTGACGTATCCGTATCCGTATACGTATCCGTATCCGTATCGAGATATGAAAGGCATCTCGATCCCGATGTCTAAACCATTTAATACAATTCCATCTCTGTTTGTGGTTGCTTAAATAAGTCACAGTCTTGCATTGAAAAATAACAAATGGTAATTTTTGTTCTATAAAAAATACTAAACTGCTGTAAACCTCTATCTTTTCGAAGAAAAATATTGATTAAAAAAAAAAGAAAATGAAACCAAGTTTAAAATTAATTTCATTTTGTTTCCAAATAATTGCTGAAAAATTCCCTTTCTCCTTTTCCTCTCTCATAATATCAGGATATTTTATTGATTCATTCTGTATTTTTCACTATACCATTACACGTAACTGATAACATAATAGATACCCCCCCCCTACACACACACACACAAACTGAAATACAAAATACCTTATCATCAACGCGATCAATAAAACTATGTATCCGTTTTAGAGAGAGTTTCAAATTGATTTTATAATTCGCTTCAGGACCGTTACAAGTTCTGAGTATATGCTTTGAATAGCCAGTTCAACTCCCTCCTTTTCACCTCCCCTCACATTGGCGTCGGAAGTAAATTGAAAGTAGGGAGTGGGGCTAATTGAAAGAGAGAAAAATTCAGTCCTGAAAAAGCAGAAAAAAAAGATTTTTTTGTTCATTGTCAAAAATCCTTAAATATATTGTGTGTGTGAGTGTGTGTGTGTGGGGGGGTCGAACTTTTTTCATTACAATTTTCTTTTCAGACACTCCCACTTACCCTACTTTAACCATTGGCGTCGGCAGCAAATTGTAATTTGTACTTGGGGGGGGGGTGGGGCTATTTAAAAAATATTTTTTATTCCTACAAAAAGAAAAAAAAAATTACAGGCAAAAAAAAGGAAATGTCCGTCTAAACACGAAAATCCTATTTCGGGGGGGGGGGGGGGGGGGGTGTTAGTTTCACTCGCAATTTTTTTCCAAACAACACACCACTTTCCACATTTATTTTACCTAAACTAAAACATGTTTGTGGAAAGTGGGGGGGGGGGGGGGGGAGGGGACTAAACCTACGCAGCGATGTTCATTGTCTATATTAAGTCTATCTTTGGATAAAAGAGTGTGGCGAGGGGGGGGGGGGGGCTACGGTTCCGACGCCTAAGTTAACTGCAATACAATATGCCTGTTGAGAGTGGGGAAGGGGCTTATCCTACGCCTCAATATATATTATGTCAATCTTTGCAAATAAAGTGGCGGGGGGTGGGGGGCGATAAGCCCCCCCCCCGTACACACACAATACCATTTAAGGGTGAGTTTTTCAGAGCTTGCTTTGTTTACTTAAAACTCCATCATGTAACTTTCAAGAAAAAAAGTTAAAATGCAAAAAGAATAGTTTAAGAGAGGAAGATATATCGTAACCTTACATTTATTTTCCTCCCCCTTTATCGACAGGTGCTTAATCAATCAAATCTAAGATATACAGCGTTTAAACGCAACTCTTTCAGATCTTGTACATAATCATTTCTCAAGCTCCTTGAAACCCTGGGTACGCATAGGCGTCGGAACCGGGAAGGGGGGGGGGGTAGGGGCGTCTTAACCCTGCCCTTCTTTCTTGCAAAGATAGACATTATATATAGGCAATTAAAATTGGGGTTTATCTTTTTTTTAAGATTAGCACCCCCTTTCAACTAGCTCCCCTTCCTATTTTCTTCCGACGCCCATGATACGGTTATCGACCTACAATTTAGGGAGTGTATTCAAACTGCCCCCGAATTACCAGATATCCAAAAATTTTCTGGAGAACAATGACCATCAAATACGTGATAATGAATGGCATAGAAGATGATAAAAAGGGAAATGAGGATGGACATTTTCAGTGAATCCCCCATATACATTTGTTTTGCACTATGATTAAATCTTTCCCAGTTAATGTACAACTACATGTATTTACAATTTACAAGTTTGAGATAAAGAGGTTTTACCTGTATATATAATTATATATTATTAGGGATATGTCGTGTTCTTGTAAATGTTATTTCAAGAATGAAAAATGAATACCCTTAAATTGAGAGAGAGAGAGAGAGAGAGAGAGAGAGAGAGAGAGAGAGAGAGAGAGAGAGGTCGATCTATAAATATTTTCTACAAATTAAATAAAAATAACATACCTGTTTTTCTAATTTTATTTTTAAACTTTTATACCCCCTCCACCCAAAAAGACATGATGCATAAGACGTGTACAGCAACTTATATGTTTTTATTAAAAAATCACTCTACATATTATTTCTTAGTGAATAAGGTTCAAAACCAAACTTGAAACGATAGAAATGTAACCAGATGGTTTGGACATCGGGATCGAGATGCATCTCATACCTCGATACGGATACGGATACGTATACGGATACGGATACGTCAGATAGAACAATCTCTATTAATAAAATGTTAGACTCTATGGATTAGGTCCATGACTTGTTGTATCCTCATTAATGTTGCGGCTTGTATTTTGTTGAATATTTTTTGTTTCAGGGATTGTTGGTAGGAATGTAGAGCAGCGTGGTAATTCCCTGTCACCTGCTGACAAATCCCTAGGATCTCCCATGATATGTCTTTTCCGTTTCTAAGTGTGTTTGTCTCCTTGTCAGGGTGTACAAGATCTTTTAAATCATCTAGAGCTCTTTGTGTTCTCACTGGGTCCACATGTCTGTAACACAAGACCTCCAACATGTGTAAGAGAACATAGAGGGGGATACGTAATACAGGGAATCTACACTGTATCCCAGAGTGTTGTTCTGGCAATAATTCCTTAATGTAACAAATGTTATTGTTCAGAACAATATCCCATGCTACGGCCTTTCTCATCGTTGTAGACAAGGGTAGATTCCCTACAGCCTCGCTATATCTTTGAGCATTGACTTGTAGCCCATATACTACATATGGCTGTGCTAACTTGACTTTTGTAGCTCTTATTACAGTTAAAGCTTCAAAGTATCTGAAGGTCTTGTAATAATACATAGCAATGTACAACATGTCGGAAATAAACCCAAACTTAGAAGCTAATTTCAGCATGTAAAGGGACCTTTTATTAGTTAAATATATCACTTTATTCATACATGTGCTAGTATCCACTTCGAACGGTATAGACTCTGTTAAACCGTTGAGTAAATGAAAAGATGTGCTCTGGAGAATAGAAGCTGCTTTTGTCTGTAACATAAGTTTCTGATATTGTGTCAGGGATAAAGTAATCAACCTCCCTACATCATTGAGGAAGATCATACAACGATGCAGTTCTCCTGTGGGTAGGTTATAGCGACCTATCTCATTGAATAGTTGTACTTCAAATACCACCCTAGATATTAAAGTGTGTTCATCTGTACAAACAGGGTGCCTAGGATTTTGAAGGACACTTATAACATGGGATTTGATGGATGAACTGTGAAGAAGGGATACTAAACCCTTCTCATATAATCTATGGAGTCTAATGAATAATTCTTTTTGTGCTTGACCATGAATATTACTCAGAAACATGTTGTTTTCAGGAATAAAAAAATTAGGACAAATGCCTTCATACACCCACTTCAGGATAAGTTTAAAACAGACCCAGAAACACTGCAAGAGGTTTTGTGGACACCAGCAAGGCATTATATTCAGTTGAATTCCCCAAAAAACAGCCGTCTTCATGTGATAAGAACACAGTAATTTATCCTCTTCACTTAATCCACTGTTAATGCATTCTTTTAAAAACAATTTAAGCAGACCGTACGTTAAGAATTGGCAATGATTCATATAGGAAACTAAACACTGCTCAGCCAAGGAGAAGGAAATTCTCCATTCTTTGTCAGTGTGATTTCCTAGTTTGTGTCCTACTGCTACAAAGTGACATCCTTTTCTGACTATTTCATCAATGATAGGAGGTGGGGGCCATGAGTGACGTCTGTTTCTCCACTGGAAGGCTGGAGGGGGCCAAATATCACAGACAAAACATGGGGCTATGTCACATTCTAATTCCTCTATAACACCGTTACCACAAGGACCATGTTCCCTAAATCCAGGAAAATCTACAATACTTCTGAACTTAGAACTTGATATATAAAGTCTGTCATTGATTCGTATACATGCATTCTCTATTATGCACGAATCAGTCTGTGTCAATAATTCAAGTAAAGCAAATCCAGGAGGACTTTCGGAACAATCACAGAGAATTAGTGTTTTTCTATTTAAATCATAATTCTTAGTCTGATCCAAGTCCCAGATTATATTATGGTCAGTTGGCCAATACATCATATCTAGATCTGACCCCTTTAGCCGGAATCCTTCCATATAACTGCCACTTGTCATCAGTTTTATTTTATAAATTGAAATCATATCAACTTGATTGCTCATCGCGTTGTCCATTTGAAGTAGTTCTCTCCTCATGGTCACCTGTTGAGAGGTCCCCACTATGTGACACAGTCCCACAAACACAGACTCTGATAAATGCTGAATACCCAAATCACTGTTTAAAAAAAAAGATACAATACATTAACGATTTTTGTATGAGAAAAAAAAATTATATATATATGAAAATTGTTTTTAGATAAATAAAAACACAGAGAACGAGTAAAACATAAGCGCTTTGTTTTCTTCTTCATGATGTTTTACAAAATTTGATTCATTAAATACTTTGCCGATGAACAAAAACAAAGAAAACAACAGAATAAAATGGAATCTAACAAAAGAAGCGAAATTGTTATCATTTTCACCGTCCAACACCTAAAGAATCATGGAGTAGAATCTCAAAAAATATGTGGAACCGATCATTATTCAGAATAAAACATACAAATCTAATTTTTACACTTACGTCCAACTGTTAGAAGCCATTTTCATATTTTGTTTAGGAAAAAGGAAGATTCTAAAATTAGAAAAGGAAATCCCTTTTTGAGGTACACTACTTGTTTCGGTTTGTAAATGAAATAATTTCTGCACTTTTTCTTGAATAGTTTCCTTGCACAAAATGACATCTATGTAGACCAATGTCGATGTACATAGTAGTTGTGTTTAAAAATTAGACTTTCATTTTTTTTTTTAGATCTATAATATAATAATAATAATAATAATAATATAATACTCTCAGGAATTTCTCATTTGATTGAATATCTACTGGTACCTTGGCATTCTTGAATAATAGTTCGTTCAAATTTTACCCCAAACTCAGTCTGACTGAGAGATAATGTTGTGATATCCAAGGATTTGAGATATGAAGGATAAAATTCTTTAATAATTAGCGGTTTTGACTTCGAAATCACTTCAACATTGTTTTTCTAAATGTAATTAATCAAGATACCGAAGTTCAATTGAATGACAATGTAAACCAATGATTCAGATGTTGACGATGTAATGTTCATTGCTGTAGCATATATCAGTTTAGAAGGTGTTACAGATGATTTTATATTCTATTTTAATAAATATGAGAAAGAAAGCATTGAAATATTGCTTATGCTTTTTCTTTTAAAGAATACTAGTAAATTTGCACGGTTGTTGATCAGCTGAACCGTGGTTGTTAAAATTTTGATAGTAGATTGTAGGATAAGATCACTGCTTGTTCCTTTACTGATAAGCAGCTGAACGTTGTAAGGATCTGAAATTGTGCTAAATTTTGTGAATTGTATTTGGTACAATCTAAGAAAATAAAGACATTTATTTTATGTATCTAACATTTCTGATAAAATATTGATGAGAGCTTTTTGTACTACTGAAATATAATAACAAATTCACTTCATATATACAGTGGATTTTTGCTCAAAATATTGTTCTAGATAAGTTGTTATTTGGAAGAAAACTAAAATATTGCCTGAGATATTAAAAAAAAAATCAAGCACTGAAAAATTCAAATTGATTTGGAATCGATACATTAAAGTCATTTATTTATAAAAGTCTAACTTTCATGATTGAATTGATGAAAACATACAATCATGAGGATTCAAATCTGTGGAAGAAGAAATGTTGATTTGTTACTGCTTTGAAATTTCGCATTTCTTTAGGATTTCATTTCAAAGAAGTCTGGCTAACACAAAAAAAACAATGAAAATAAAACCCCATTTAAATTAGTGATTCCACACCATTGTGAATAGATAGACAATTTTTAACCATTTCATAACTTTTTCGAATTTCACATTTCTCTTGTCCTTTTTAGTTTTTGTTTTCATCAGATCTCTGTTTCTTTTTCTCAGGTTGTATGATAAATCTGCAGGGGTTTAAGGTGTAAATGCAAGAAGCAAATGATTCCACAACATTTTGAATAGATAGACAATTTTCAACCATTTCATAACTTTTTTTTCAAATTTCACATTCTTCTTGTCCATTTTATTTTTGGTTTTCATCTAATCTCTATGTTTCTTTTTCTCAGATTGTATGATAGATCTGCAGGAGTTTCAGGTGTGAATGCAAGAAGCAAATGAAAGCTCTTTCTCTCAGAACTGGTAATGAAAGGAAACTGTCTACTTGATGTTTTTCAGTGCCACTGCTTCAGAATGGGTGATCTATATGTCAGCTTTATTCAGTGCCACTGCTTCAGAATGGGTGATCTATATGTCAGCTTTATTCAGTGCCACTGCTTCAGAATGGGTGATCTAAATGTCAGCTTTATTTGTCATCATGCCTGCTGGGACTGGCGAGGGGATAAGACCCCAACACCCTCAAAGGACTCGGCCAAATTGTGATATTGGTGACCTTTTTCATGTCAAATTTCTAAACAATGTTCAAAACATTTCGTAATAAAACATGTATGTAAGAATGAGAATGTCCTCATGATTTTTCTCATATAACTATCAGTGATTTTATCGTTCAATCATAGCTTTAATGTTCATTTTGATTTTGTTATTGGTTACTAATAGTACTGCCTCTTATGTAGAACTTTTTAAGTTATTTTTGTGTTACCTCTATTTGTTTTGTTTTATATTTAATAACAATAATGTCTATTTCTGCAAATTGGAATTTTTAGTTTAAACATTCTTGAAGAGGAACAAGTCATAAGCCATATTATATTTATCAAATATTTAAATTGTAAAAAAATAAATGTATGGTTGTCTATTGTAATACCCAGCTAGTTGAAAATTCCAGTCAGAATTAAAAGATATCATACAATGTTGTAAGTTATCGTCCAGTGGATATTCATTACAATTTATGCTTGACAGCTCTTGCTCTGTCTTGGTTGTGAATACATTTGTATTTTAAAAGGTCATTCTATGTATTGAATTTATTTTAATTGTCAAATATTTGACATACACCACAAACAGAAAGTAATGAAGTAAAAAGGAAAGTAGATGAACAAAATACAAAATCTGGAATTTCAAAATTAAATATTTTATATCAATTAAACAATCATGTCATAAATGTGAAGATTTTTTTAAATATATGTACAAATATTGTAATAATACCATGTATTATGAAATGCTGAAATGAAATAACAGATATTGACCTTATTTAATAGTTCAAACTTTGTATATGTATTATATTATAGAATACAATGTTTGGAATAAACATGTTAATTCTTTATTGGACAATATATTATGGAGGCTGGTATGCTTTGTTTGACAATTTCATTATTTTGTTTATCATGAGAGTAAAAAAAAAACCAATTAATGTTATATAAAGTTAACTAACAAACCTATTACAAAGCTTCATTTTATATAAACACAATGCATTATAAAGAATTAAACTGTCTGCAAAAGTTTGAAAAATTGATCCCCCCATTTTAATATTTCTTCTTTTGATTTATTAAAATTTTTGAAAAAAAAAAAGTTAAAAAACCGACTTTCAATTCACAAGGAAAATTGTGACAGCTGCTTTTTACTATTTGTAAAAAATAGATTAGAATTGTTGAATTATTACAAAAAACCTGATTCTAAAATTTATTTATTAAAATGTACTCAGTGAAGATTAATAACATATTAGACTCTTTGGATTAGATCCATGATGTGCTGTATCCTCATTAATGTAGCGGTTTGTATTTTGTTGAATGTTTCTTGTGTCAGGGATTGTTGGTAGGAATACAAGGCAGCTTGGTAATTCCCTATGACCTGTTGACAAATACCTAGGATCTCCCATGATATGTCTTTTTGTTCTTCGGATATGTATGTCCCCGGATCATGGTGTACAAGATCTTGTAGGTCATTTAGGGCTCTTTGTGCTTTCACTGGGTCTACATGTCTGTAACACAAGACCTCCAACATGTGTACGAAAACATAGAGGGGGATACATAAACATGGACAAGTACACATTAACCCAGACTGTTGTTCTGGCACTAATTCATTGATGTAACAAATGCAATTGTTCAGAAAAATATCACATGCTACAGCGTTTCTCATTTTTGTAGACAAGGAAAGTCTCCCTATAGCTTCGCTATATCTTTGAGCATTGACTTGTAGCCCATATACTACATATGGCTGTGCTAACTTGGCTTTTGTAGCTCTTATTACAGTTAAAGCTTCCAAGTATCTGAAGGTCTTGTAATAATACATAGCAATGTAAAGCATGTCGCAAATAAACCCTAATTTAGCAGCTAATTTCAGCATGTAAAGGGACCTTTTATTTGTTAAATATTTCAATTTATTTCTACATGTGCTAGTGTCCACTTCGAGTGGTAAAGAATCTGTTAAATCGTTGAGTAAAATAAAAGCTGTGTCCTTGAGTGTAAGAGCTGTACTCCTCTGTAAAACAAGTTTCTGATATTGTGTAAGGGGTAAAATTGTCAACCTTTCTATGGCAATAAGGAACTCAATACTATTATACAAGTCTGTTATGGGTAGATTGGTGTTCTTTATCTCACTGAGTAGATCTGCGTCAAACTGGACCTTAGAAACCAAAGTGTGTTCATGTGTACAAACAGATTGCCTAGGATTTAGAAGGACCCTTATAACATGGGATCTGATGAATGGACTGTGAAAAAGGCATGCTAAACCCTTTTCATATAAACCATGTAGTCTGATGAACAATTCTTTTTGTGCTTGACCATGAATATTACTCAGGAACATGTTGTTTTCTGGAATAAAAAAATTTGGACAGACGCCTTCATACACCCATTTCAAGATAAGTTTAAAACAGACCCAGAAACACTGCAAGAGATTTTGTGGACACCAGTAAGGTATCATATTTTGTTGAATCATCCAAAAAACAGCTGTCTTCATGTGATAAGAACACAGCAATTTATCCTCTTCATCTAATCCATTGCGAATACATTCTTTCAAGAACAATTTAAGCAGACCGTACGTTAAGAATTGGCAATGATTCATACAGGAAACGAGACATTGCTCTGCCAAAGAGAAGGAAATTCTCCATTCTTTATCAGTGTGATTTCCTAGTTTGTGTCCTACTGCTACAAAATGGCATCCTTTTCTGACAATTTCATCAACGATAGGAGGCGGGGGCCATGAGTGACATCTGTTTCTCCATTGGAAGGCAGGAGGGGGCCAAAAGTCAGAGATAAAACATAAGGCTACGTCATATTCTATTACCCCAATAAAACAGCTACAACAAGGACCATGTTCCCTATATTCAGGAAAAGCAGCAGAAACCGTTATTCTTCTGAACTCAGAACTTGATATATAGAGTCTGTCGTTAATTCTTATACAAGGATTCTCTAGAGGTCCCCAGTGAGTCTCTGTCAATAGTTCAAGTAAAGCAAATCCAGGTGGACTTTCCGAACAATCACAGAGAATTAGTCTTTTTCTATTTAAATCATAATTCTGAGCCTGGTCCAAGACCCAGATTATATTAAAGAATTTTGGCCAAAACATCAAGTCTATATCTGACTCCTCTAGCCTGAATCCTTCCCTATAACTGCCACTTGTCATCATCACCATGTCGTATTTACTTGTACGCATTACTTGATTTTTCACCATCTCGCCCATGTCTAGTATTTCTCTCCTCATGGTCACCTGTTCAGAGGTCCCCACTTTGTAACACAGTCCCACAAACACAGACTCTGATAAATGCTGAATACCTGAATCACTATTTTAGAAATAAGACACTGTATGAGTAAAAAAATTTGAAATTCGGGTAATCTTTGACAATGTGCTTCAATGTAATGACTCCAAATTATCAATTTATACACTGGACATTCAAATTTACACTCGAAATTTGATTCAGACAATTTAATTTAAACAATATTTTATTCACTGATGATTCAGACAATAATTTAAGAGACAGGGGACAGTTCTAGAAGTTAACATTTCGGGTGAATATTGATATAATTATTGAGTTAATGTGTATGAAGGTCTAAGTATACAGGTCGTTATCATTTATACCGTCCAACACCTCAAGAAATACATCCTTGAGGTTTAAAATCTCAAAAATATATGATACTGATCTTTGTTTATAATCAAATATACAAATCTAATTTTTGATACTTACATCCACCTAGAGGAAGTCATTTTCATATAATGTTCAGGAAAGAGGAAGATTCTAAAAGACGATAAGGAAATGCCTTGAGTTACTCGACCTGCTAGCTTGTTTTAGTTATACCCCCCGCTTGAAAAGCGGGAGGGTATATAGTAATCGTTAATTCCGTCCGTCCGTCCGTCCGTCTGTACGTCCGTCCGTCCGTCTGTCTGTCTGTCCGTCCGTCTGTTACGCTTTGGGGTACCCATCTCTTATCCGCAACTCCTCTCATACCACTGAATGAAATTTGATGAAACTTTCACAGAATCTTTATTACATATTGCCATTGTGCACCTCCTATTTTACTTTTTGATCTGACACATATTTTGGGTTTCCCGGCCACAGGAAAACTTGGACTTTTTCACCAGTTATAACCATATGGGAGGCGGGGGGTATCATTTAGTGAGCTCATCGCTCACAGTACCTCTAGTTTGTAAATAAAATTGTTTCTACAACATGTTTTCTATATGTAGTTGTCTTGCACATCGATCTATGTTGACCAATTTCAATGAACACCAGACATTCACTGCATGTGCTCAAAACTTAGATTTACATATTCACATTTAAGCTCTACTATATAATTAGATCGATCTATATATAATTGTATAAACCTATCCTTCTTTCAACAGTTCATGGTCACTTAGGTACACATATTTTTTTACTATAGAACTTTGTGTTTTCTATTTATATGAGAAAGTTTCCTGGTGAAAATTATATTTTTAGTAGGTTTTCAGTAACATCCTACAACATTCTAATTTTAGCATTAAGAATTTATGATTAAAAGCAAAAATCACAAGGGTATAATGATAAAAAAAAATTAAAGTATTTTTGGTTATTTTACTGTAATATTTGAGATCTTCACGTGCTAACTTTTATTTTGTTTACAACTTATTTATTTATTTTTGGATGGAATTCCACCACAATCATAATAGATGATTTTAAAATGATTTATGAGGCTTATGCAACATTTATTACTCAGTATATCTTATTTTAACTAAGGTTTGGTTTACAAAACAAGCAGTATTACCGTTTGTGTTTTGACAACATCCCCACTTTCAATAGTTTGTTTACCAATATTATTCTCTAAGCATCTTTGTAAGTATGGTAAAATAACCCATTTAAAAATATTACAGTTATTTATAATTGCCAGTTATTGATTTCAGTTTAGTATCAGTGAAATACCTAAAGAGAAATTAGAAAGGGGTGAAAAAAATTGAAATGAAATGGGATGGTGTCCTCTACGTATCTGGGTTGTTGGGTGCATGGATTTATTTTTTTTTTAGTTGACATAGGTTCAACAACAACAGTCATTTCCAAGTACGTGTATGACAGTATAGATCCACATCAAAGTAATGGTAATGTAATGCATTACTTTAAGAAAATAGAGTAATGGTAATGCCCAAATTGTTGAAGTAATGGCAGTGTAATGCATTACTTTGTTACGAATTCGGCATTCTCCACTATGATTATGAATAAGTAAACATGGTAAACAAGATGTTCCCTGTTATATGAGTCGCTAAAATAATGATTCGATGGATGATTGAATGAATGATATGAATAGACATTTATTCTTATTTACTTGCTATTATTGATTAATGTTATTTACTTATTAGAATTTATTATAAGCTACGTGCAAATTGTTCACCTCGTACCGAATTTCCTCCATGTTTTGAGGAATATGGAACGTAAAGAAACCATTTTCTGGTCCATAAATGTAATGACATAGTACTTAATGTGTTTATCTTTGATAATTGGGATAATTAATAAATCCATTCACTGATAATTAGAGTAAAACATTACAATTACACTCTGCTTTTCATAATTAGCGGTAAATGCTATAAAAGATATTCGAAACACCTCGGATGAGTATAATAGTTAACCGCATGCAAAGTTTTCCAGCTATAAGCCTGGTTCCATGTCCCTGTTTTGCTTAATTTACACCGTGTCACTAGGATGAGACAGGGGAGCAGGCTATCCAGCTATTAGACGTTATGGCGCAAAATCTCATGCATTTGGCGTCATAAAGGATGTAAACTCTTTATATACGAGCCCCCAGCTTCTAACGGTCAGACTCCGGTACCCATCTCTTATCCTCAACTCCTCTTAAACCACTGAGTGAAATTAAATGAAACTTTCGCAGAATCTTTATTACATATTGCCATTGTGCACCTCCTATTTTATTTTTTGATCCGACTAATATTTTGGGTTTCCTGGCCACCGCAAAACATGGACTTTGCCATTATAATTATATGGGAGGCGGGGGATATCATTTAGTGAGCTCATTGCTCACAGTACCTCTAGTTTTTAATTTATGTCTTTCTTTTGCAGAAGGGAGGGTATATTGTTTTGTGCTGTCTGTAGGTCGGTCTGTCAGTAGGTCCACGAAGAGTTTCTTTTCACTTTTTTGCAGAGGTTGCACATACTGAAATGAAATTTGAATAAGAAAATCCAGGTCAAGTTCTGTTCTGGGTACAATTGAGCAATTTATGATAGAGCTATGCACCTTGGACTTAGAAAAAAATTCAAACTATTTGCATTCTTTGAATGTATTGGGGGGGGGGTGAAAATCTCTTTCTGTTTTGTTAAATATTCACATGTATTCACATATTTGTTAAATATTCACATGTATAAACTTTGATCACAGAATACTATCACATTTGCTCTGCAAAAATATTAGCTAAAGCTTTGACTCTAAAGAATTTTTTACTTCACAAAAATATTTACTGGTACTTTAGCCTGTTTAAATAATGTATTATAAAAGTACTGTCAAATCTTGTTATCTTACGACTCAAACTCAATCTGACTGAGAGAAAATTTTAAAATGTAAAAGGATTAGAGACTTTGAATTTAAACCCATCAGTAATAAGAGGAAGGGTCTTCCAAATCATGCACTTTGACATATTTATGGTTTTCAACATAGCATACTGAAGTTCAATTGTATTACAATGTGAATCAATGAATCAGATGTTAAAATTACTCTTTTGGGCTCTTAAAGCAACAAATGGTAAACCTGAAATCAAAGAGAAACACAAAAATGCCTGGAGGTGGACGTAGAAAAAGTGCACCAGCCTCGGAGCTCTAAAAGTGTATATTTTGTGTAAGAAAGGCATCTAAAAAAAATTTTCAAAACAAGGATTCATTTTCTAGCGATTTTACACTGATGTTGATCAGCTTAAATGTGCTCGTGTTCAATACAAATTTAAAAACTTCTCTTTACACCTCTTTTATTATACATGTCTTCCAAACAATGTTTGATCTGAAATTGTGTGAAAATTTTGTTAGTGTTTAAATTTTTGATAAAGACAAATAAAATGATTATTAAAATTCTCCTATACATCTTGAGAATCCTTGGCTCACTGCAGCATCCCTTCTTTCGGTTAGTAAAGGCACTGACCAATCTACAGCCACTTATACTACCTGCCAAAAAAAAAGCTCAAAAAGGACATTGAAAAGTTCATCCTATGCAATAATCTCTATGTGTCTAAAAGTTATATATGTATTAATTTACTGTGCTCAAAATCTTGTGCTTGATAGGTTGCATCTTGAAAGAAAACCAAAATACTGCTGGAGATTTTAAAAAAAACTTGAGCACTGAAAAATTCAAATTCATCTGGAAAAGACTAGTCTCAAATCACTTATTTTTTGGAGTCTACATTTTTATGGTTTGAGAAATTCATTGATTCATTAGGATTCCAATTTGTGGAAGAATCAAGTTTGAGTTGTTACTTGTTTGAAATTTTGCATTTTAGTAGGATTTAATATCGAAGGAGTCTTGATTACACAAAAAACAACGAAAATATACACCCATTAAAATTAGTGATTTTATGGTGTTTTGAATAGTTTATAAATAATTTTCAACCATTTCATAACTTTTTAGCTCACCTGAGTCGAGGGCTCAAGTGAGCTTTTCTGATCAAAATTTGTCCAATCTCTGTCATTGTTATCATCATCATAAACTTTTCACATTTTCATCTTTTCACAAACTACTATACATTTTCATCTTCTTATCAAGAACTAGTGGGCAGATTTCATCCAAACTTGGTGCTTAGTAACCTTGGATGAAGGGGATTTAAGTTCCTTCAAATAAAGGGGAGATACATGTAATAACAAATTGGTAAAAAAAAAATCAATGACATCATTTAAAAATCTTCTCAAGAACCACTGAACCAGGAAAGATGAAACTCATGTGGGATTATCCTAAGGTGGTGTAGATTCACTTTTTTTCAAATGATGACCCCTTAGGGTAGGAGGGGGCCACAATAGAAGATCAAAGGTTTACCGAGGTATATATATAGCAAAAATCTTTGAAAATCCTCTTCTCAAGAACTGCAAAGCTATGATTTGTCTTATTTATATCTAAGCACCTACAGGTTCAAATCAAGACCCCCGGGGCTAGGGTTGGGGCCACAATGGGGGACAAAATATTAACATAGAAATATGCAGAAAATACTTCTCAGGAATAGTAAACCATGATTATTTACATTTATATGGAAGCATCCTGAGGTAGTGTGGATGCTAGTTTGTATAACCATACCCCCCAGGATAGGGTTGGGCCATTATGGGGGATCAAAGTTTTCCATAAAAATTTTTAGAAAAAATCTGTATGATTCTTTTTTTTTAAGAATGGAAAAGCCATGATTATAAATATTTATATTGAGACATCCAATTAGGAAGACAATCTTTAAAAAATATCAAGAACAGCAACGTGCAAAGGTATATGTTATGTATTGATATGGAGTCATCCCCTGCTCCCCTCAACTCCCTCCCCCCTTCAGTAAAATTTTCAATTCTGAACTGATAAGTGCTTTTCTAGCCATTATACTCTGGTGAGCGATGTGGCCAATGGCCTCTTTTTTTGAAATGTTCAATTTCTTTTGTATTTTTTCATGTTTTTTTTTATCAGATCTCCACGTTTATTTTTCAGGTTGTGTGATAGATCTGCAGGAGTTTCGGGTGTGACTGCAAGAAGCAAATGAGAGCTCTTTCTCGCAGAACTATTAATGAAAGGAAACTGTCTACGTGATGTCTTTCTGTGTCTCTGCTCCAGAATGGGTGATCTAAATGTCAGCTTTATTTGTCTTCATGCCTGCTGGGACTGGCGAGGGGATACGACCCCAAATCCCTCAAAGGACTCAGCCAAATTGTGATATTGGTGACCTTTTACATGTCAAATTTTTAAACAATGTTCAAAACATTTTGTAATAAAACATGTATGTAAGAATGAAAATGTTCTCATGATTTTTCTCATACAACTATCAGTGAATTTATCGTTCAGTCATAGCTTTAATGTTCATTTTGTTTTTGTTATTGGTTACTAATAGTACTGCCTCTTACGTAGAACTTTTTAAGTTATTTTTGTGTTACCTCTATTTGTTTTGTTTTACATTTAATAACAATAATGTCTATTTCTGCAAATTGGAATTTTTAGTTTAAACATTCTTGAAGAGGAACAAGTCATAAGCCATATTATATTTATCAAATATTTGAATGGTAAAAAATAAATGTATGGGTGTATATTTTAATACCCAGCTAGTTGAAAATTCCAGTCAGAATTAAAAGATATCATACAATGTTGTAAGTTATCGTCCAGTGGATATCAATTACAATTTATGCTTGACAGCTCTTGCTCTGTCTTGGTTGTGAATACATTTGTATTTTAAAAGGTCATTCTATGCATTGAATTTATTTTAAATGTCAAATATTTGACATACACCACAAACAGAAAGTAATGAAGTAAAAAGGAAAGTAGACGAAGAAAATATAAAATCTGGAATTTAAAAATTAAATATTTTATATCAATTAAACAATCATTTCATAAATGTGAAGATTTTATTAAATATATGTACAAATATTGTATTAATACCATGTATTATGAAATGCTGAAATGAAATAACAGATCTTGATCTTATTTAATAGTTCAAACTTTGTATATATATTATAGAATACAATGTTTGGAAAAAACATAATTTGTTAATTTTTTTCTTGACAATATATTATGGGGGTGTTATGCTTTGTTTGACTATTTATTTTGTTGATAATAAGAGTAAACAAAATAATGTTTATATATAAACTTAACTAACAAACATATTATAAAGCTTCCTTTTTATAAACACAATACATTATGAAGAATCAAATGGTCTGCAAAAGTTGGAAAAAATGACTTTCCCATTTATTTCTTCTTTTTATTTAGGGATCTATTTATTTAAATTTTTGAAGATAAAAATTTTAAGTTAAAAACAAACTTTCAATTCAAAACGGAAATCATGACAGACGTTACTTATCATTGTCAAAAAAGTTTTGAATCACTGAATTTTTACAAAAAAAATCTGGTTCTAAAATTTATTTACATGTACCTAATGTACTATTAATAAAATATTAGACTCTATTGATTAGGTCCATGATTTGGCGTATCCTCATTAATGTAGCGATTTGTATTTTGTTGAATGTTTCTTGTGTAAGGGATTGTCGGTAGGAATATAGAGCTGCTTGGTAATTCCCAGTAATCTGTTGAAAAATCCCTAGGATCTCCCATGATATTTCTTTTCCATTTCCAAGTAGATCTGTCTCCTGATTATGGTGTACAAGATCTTGTAGGTCATCTAGCGCTCTTTGTGTTCTCACTGGGACTACATGTCTGTAACACAAGATCTCCAACATGTGTAAGAGAACATAGAGGGGGATACCTAACCCTGGGTGTCTATACGGTAACCCCGACTGTTGTTCTGGCACTAATTCATTTATGTAATACATTAAATTGTTCAGACGAATGTCCCATGCTACCTTTCTCATCTTTGTAGACAAGGAAAGTCTCTCTACAGCCTCGCTATATCTCTGTGGGTATACATATCTCATATTCACTGAATATGGTTGTCCTAATTTAGCTTTTGTAGCTTCTATTACAGTTAAAGCTTGCAAGTATCTGAATGTCTTGTAATAATACATGGCAACATACAACATGTTGGAAATGAACCCAAACTTAGCGACTAATCTTAGCATGTAAAGGGATGTTTTGTCAATTAAATATATCTTTTTATTACTACATGTATTGGTATCCACTTCGAATGCTATTGAATCTGTTAAGAAGTTGAGTAAAATAAAAGCTGTGTCCTGGAGTGTAATAGCTGTACTCTGCTGTAAAACAAGTTTCTGATATTGTGTAAGGGGTAAAATTGTGAACCTTTCAATAGTAATAAGGAACTCCATACAAGTGTGCAAGTCCATTATGGGGAGATTGGTGTTATATATCTCATGAAATAGATCACCTTCAAACTTGAACTTAGAAAGCAAAGCATCTTCATCTATACGAACATATTGCCTAGGATTTAGAAGGACACTTATAACATGGGATCTGATGGATGGACTGTGAAGCAGGCATGCTAAACCTTTCTCATATAATCCATAGAGTCTAATAAACAATTCTTTTTGTGCTTGACCATGAATTTTAGTTAGAAACATGTTGTTTTCTGGAATAAAAAAATTCGGACAAATGCCGTCATACACCCATTTCAGGATAAGTTTAAAACAGACCCAGAAACACTGCAAGAGATTTTGTGGACACCAGTAAGGTATCATATTTTGTTGAATCACCCAAAAAACAGCCGTCTTCATGTGATAAGAACACAGTAATTTATCCTCTTCATTTAATCCACTGTTGATGCATTCTTTTAAGAACAATTTAAGCAGACCGTACGTTAGGAATTGGCAATGATTCATTGAGGAAACTAAACATTTCTCAGCCAAAGAAAAGGAAATTCTCCATTCACTGTCGGGGTGATTTCCTAATTTGTGTCCTACTGCTACAAAATGACATCCTTTTCTGACTATTCCATCAATGATAGGAGGAGGGGGCCATGAGTGACATCTGTTTCTCCACTGGCAAGCTGGAGGGGGCCAAAAATCACAGACAAAACAGTGGGCAAAGTCATATTCTAATTCCGCTTGAAAACCGTTACTACAAGGACCATGTTCCCTAAATCCAAAAAGATGATTCCTTCTGAACTTAGCACTTGATATATAGAGTCTGTCATTGATTCTTATAAATGCATTCTCTATAGATCTCAGGTGAGTCTTTGTCAATAGTTCAAGTAAAGCAAATCCAGGCAGACTTTCCGAACAATCACAGAGAATCAGTGTTTTTCTAGTTAAGTCATAATGCTGAGCCTGATCCAAGTCCCAAATTATATTGTGGTCAATTGGCCAAGACATCATGTCAACATCTGACCCCTTTAGCCTGAATCCTTCCATATAACTGCCACTTGTTTCCATTTTTGATAAATAATGATAACTTAAATGCATATAATTCTGTATCATTTCGTCCATATCAAGTATTTCTCTCCTCATGGACACATGTTGAGAGGTCCCAACTATGCGACGCAGTTCCACAAACACAGACTCTGATAAATGCTGAATACCCAAATCACTGCTAAAAAATACATTGATAATTTTACAGGAAAAAAATTGAGTGAATACTTTTTTGGTAGTGTCTCTTAAATGTGATGGGTTCAAATGAATATATATCACGCCGGCATTCGGATTCACATTTGGAACTTGAATCCAATAATAATTAGAGACAGGACAATAGTTTTAAAAATTAACATTTTGGGTGAATACTGGCGGTATATGATAATATAACTATTGAGTTAATGTGTATCAAGGCCTAAGTATACAGGTCGTAATCATTTTTACCTTTCAAAAGTCATCAAGATTTACATCATTACAGTTTAGAATCTTAAGAAATGTGTGGTTATAATCTTTATTTATAATAACATATACAAATCTCATTTTTATACTTACATCCAACTATAAGAAGCCATCTTCACATTATTTTCAGGAAAGAGGAAGAATTCTTCAATTAGAAGAGGAAATCCCTTAAATGAATCTACTTGTTTTACTGTGTAAATTAAGTAATTTCTAGTTTTCTACATCATTTTATCTTAAATTTAGGTGTCTTCCATAACAATGTTTTTCGATATCAATGAACACAGCAGTTATGTTTAAAATTTAGATCTTAACACATATTTTATCTACAATATAATACGGGAGGCCCGGGTTTGATTCTCGTTCGCGGCGCTGCGTCAAACCTAAGATGTGAACATAGATATTAGTGACTGTTCCTTTGCTAAACGCTCGGCATTAGAAGTGAAAGCCACGGGTCTTTCGGATATGACCTTAAAAATGTAGGTCCCGTGTCGCGTCAGGCGTTGGCAGGTTAAAGAACCCTCACTGCTCAATGGCCCTGAGTGCCGAGTGTAGATCTAAATTTGAAGCCCTTCATTGGCATACGGTGACGTCTCCGAATATGTGTGAAAATTTCTTGAGAGGGACGTTAAACAACATATAATCAATCAATCTGTCCACAATATAATAAAGATTGATCTAAATTAAGTGTATGAACCAGCGTCACAAGGTCACTCAGACAGCTTACTGTAAATTTAGTTGCACGTAATTACTAGCTGTAGTTTCTATATAAATATATGAGAAAAAAGTTTCCTGGTCAAAAAGTCGAGTTGCATTAAAATCTGACACATTCTAATTTTAGCACTAAGAATTTAGAACTTTTGATTAATTGTAAAAGTCATGAGAAAATTTATGAGAATTTTCCAGTGAATTTTCTTCTCCCATCAATTTGATTAACTTAAATATTTCAAACGGTTTATTTTTCCATTTCTTAGATATTTATTTCTTGTTCATTTCTATTTATTTATTCATTTATTGTTTTAATTTCCAGTGAATTTTCTTCTCCCATCAATTTAAATTAACCTTAAAAGGGTCTGCCCACTAGTGCTAGTTCACTAATCCGAAGGTTCACTAGTCCGACGGCCCACTAGTGTAAAAAGTCACAAATCCGAAGATTCACTAGTCCGACTGCCCACTGGTGCTAGTTCACTAATCCGAAGGTTCACTAGTCCGACGGCCCACTAGTCTCGGGCGAAGGTTCACAAGTCCCATGTCCCACTAATCCAATTTGAGAAAAAGTTATGGAATTTATATTTACATATCAAAACAAGGGTTGATAAATATAGTATAAATATACTAGCAGAGGAAAACCTTTGTCGATTATCCACCCATTCTCAATATAAGGGCACAAATGCCTCTCTGATTTTTTAAAAAAAATGAAGTTCAAGATAACAATTTTTCTATCAATTACCTTTGAAAGAAAGTATCTGAAGATTTGGTTTCCAAATTTTTTTCATCAAATTATAATACATGAAATAATGACAAGACGATAAAGTAGAGGGTAATTTTATTCAGAAATGTAGCTTGAAATTTAAGTTACTCTTTCTTCAATGTCCAAAAAAATATGTCAAAAAAAATGTAGTCATTAAAATCACAATTGGAATATCTCATCTTAACACCAGCACATCCTACCAACTCTGTCAGCAACATATTTTCTCGGCATACGAACGTGCGTTTGATTTTTCCTTTCAAAAAACAAAGGTTACTTTTTGATCCAGATGTGTAAAAACATTTTTTAAATATATGCTTTGAATTCTTCTCTCTGTTATGTTAAGAGCGATCAGTTTGGAATCTTGTCATTTTTAATAGATACTGGAACCTAACATGAACATGTAGAAAAATTCTATTTTGAAGTTACTGTCTTTTTTAACATATATCCATGCCGATTTAGAAAACTATGTAAATGTAACGTACATTTCAAGATATATTTCTGTGTAATAAAAAGCTTAAAATTTATCTAAAATTCATCTAAAAATTCATCGTTTTGTTTCAGTTTATTCCAAAAAGATTCTCTATGTAATCACATTGTGTTATATGTCACAATCACCACTATAAAGACACGATTGCCTCAGAATATGAGTAGGTAACGTACATTTCAAGCTTGTAATAATATGTAAATTAGTAATAAGAAAATATGGGGAAAAAAAGCAATTTTTGACATAAAAATCATATCAATGAAGCGTTTTAATGCAGTAATATAAGAAATCATAATGTAACAAACGAGGTTATTGTCATCAACTACAAGAATGTCACGTCACTTCGGTAACGTTCATTTCACATATTATTGGGGAGTCCCCTCCACCTCAGTTCATAACCATTCTTTTGTGCTGTTGCGCTGAAATCGACATCGGTCGTAGCCTAGTTACTTCTAACTGTGTGCAAGGTTACAGACAAAAAAATATAAGAGTCAGATGTATTTTGCTATGATCTAACAAATGTTTGTATTTGGCCATTGAAACTTAACATAAATCTATTCCGAATATATCCATCGACAGTCTTAACAATTTCATTTCGTATGTTGCAACATCGTTTTTCAAAACACAAACATACGTGCTTTTTAGCAGATCTGGAAAAATATAACCCAAAATGCAATGATTCAAACAAAACTGAGTATTCAGTATTTGAAATGTACGTGACCGTCTTGTGTTCTGGGTTTATTTGTTTTGTTTCTTTTTCTTTTTTTGTTTTGTTTCGTTTGTTTTTTTTTACCAATTATAAGCCTATGCATACCTTGTTTTAAATTATCAACAACAATTCAATTAATATTGACGAAAAGTCGCACATGAAAAGTAAACAAACTGCAAAAAGGTTGCCAAAGATGAATTTAAGACATTTAGAAATAAATTTTCTAGCATTTGGTAACAGTTTAAAACATTTACGAGGATTGGGGTGCATTTAGATGTGGCCAGTTGTCAAATGGATTGTAACGATAATTTTGTTTCGCTCGTGTAAACGCAATTCATTGACTAAATTAAAAAAAAAATGTCAGTTAGAAATACATCAAATGTACGTTACCATACGTAACGTACATTTCAAATATAAAAATCGATTCTCTTCCACAAGCATACGTTAGACGCGCAATATATTGATACTATTTGAACCTGCATATCATAAGTTATGCATCATACAGGTTTCGTATTCAGAAATATATACCAGGTATCAAAATTATATTACATAATAATTGACCTTAATATATTTTTTTTCCTCGGCAGAGACGTTTCTTTTCATTAATTTTGGGATTTAGCCGACCTCCAACCTTTGAAACTTTCCTTTGTGTACACATTCGAGTGTGTGAAAGTATTAGAATACATGAAAATTCGTGCGAGATTCACTTAATTCGAATTTCATGGTAACGTACATTTCAGTCACGTACATTTCAAATGATCACTTTTCATGTAAAAAATAATTTTTAATTGTGTTAAGCAAAACGTCTTTGCCAGTTTACAGGATACAAGGGGTTGCTTATTCAGAGTCGTCTCATATTTTCTACTTAATATGTATTCTTAATGGAAGAATATAAGTAACGTACATTTCTTTCTTATCTCTACGATTGAAAATGTCTTTCATTCCGTAAACATATTTATAAAAGTTGCTCAAGTTGTTCAATTTCATGTTACATTATCTAAGTAGGAGTAATTAATCCTTTGAAATTTCAAATTTAGCCCATCAATAAATAAAGGAGAACAAAACTATCAGGTTTATAATCTTTGTGTTTGCTTGTAATGTGGTTGAAATAGAATTAAGCGACAGGGACATTGCACAATAAAAATTATTTATTATCACAAAGAAAATGTATTTATTGTTATGAAAAGAAATATATATGATACAAGGTTTAACTTATCAGAAAATTTTTACTTGAGAATCAAAACTATATATTACACAGAGGGGATTCAGAATAATATTTGCCTCGGCGACAGTAACGTACATTTCAAATAGGCTACTATATTTGAATTTGGAACTCCTTAAATACTCTTTCAGATCGATAATTATATGAATTCTTATTCATTGTTATATGACTATTTATAATGTTGATTTAAAAATTACATCAGTGGTATTTCTTTTAAATGAAAATGAGGCGACATCATTTGAGCCCTTATATTGAGAATGGGTGGTCATCATGGAAAATGAAAATGGGTAGAGTGCGTTCACTTATATATCGAGATGCAATAGTCTATTATTTGTTGAGGCATGCCAAGAAATACCGACCAATTTCCACGGCGAAGGGGTCAGAATGTAAATTATGCAAATCATCAATATTCTCCAATAATACTACATGTAGCAGAACAATTAACGAATTAACGGAAGCAGATCTGAGGTGGTGTATCCTATTTTAAAGTTAAAGAAAAAATCTTCTAACCCCAAGAAGTCGCTTCATATATATCCTGAAAATATAGTTCCTGTCAAAAAGTTTAATTATTTCCAAAGTATGTTAATTGCACCTGGCACAGGTCCAAAATTGTAAAAAAAAAAAAAAAAAAAGAAAAAAGAAAAGAAAAAGAAAAAGCTATTTTAGCATATAGGTCAATTTA